TTTTTATAGGTAAGGTTTTTATTGTAGCCCTAAAAGCAACAGAAAATTTTTATTTTATAAATAGTCGTCTACGTTTTAGTTAAGTATAAACACACGTACTCGGTCCCAATGTTGTTCAGCCAGACGTTCAGCCATCAGTCAGTCAGTCAGTCAGTCAATCAGTCAGTCAGTCAGTCAGTCAGTCAGTCAGTCAGTCAGTCAAACAGTCAAGTAGTCAGTCAGTCAAGTAGTCCGTCAGTGAATTAGTCAGTCAGTCAAGTAGTCAGTCAGTCAAATAGTCAGTCAGTCAAGTAGTCAGTCAGTTTGTTAGTCAAGGCGCCAGTCAGCCAAGTAGTCCGTCAAGCGTCATGTAGTCAGTCAAGAGTACTCAGTCACGTACTCAGTCAAGTACTCAGTCGGTCAAGTATTCGGTCGGTAAACTAGTCGGTCAGTAAGATAAGAGGTCCGCCCGTCTGTCAGTTATTCAGTCTGTCTTTCCATACGTTAGTCTAAGAATGGTCGATTCGTCTCTGCAGTCTCTGAAATTCAGGTTTTAACAGTGCTGTTTTCAACAAGTTGCGTCGTCCACGGTTGGTCTATATTAAGTCACAGTTGTTGTTAAATTTAAATGATTGTCTGTAGCTACGCTACTTCAGTTAAAGTCCGTCCGTGATGTTTTAGTCTCGTTTCCCTCCCCAACACGTCCGTCAGTCAATGGTCAGGAGTTGTTTTCTTTGCCGACGGGTGCTTTTGGCGTCTTGGCTTTATCACTCCTAATACTTGCGGTGTGAACCTAGCCGTGCCTCGCCAAACGCCTCAGCCGCGCGCCGCTGCTCTCGGCTTCCCCGGCGACGACGGGGGTCTTGGACAGCGGCACAAGCTGCCCGTCGTCGATCCTCATCAGTGGCCCGCTCTCGGAGTTGTGGCGGCGGCGGCGGTTGCCCAGCCGGGACACGAGCCGCTCCCGCCGCCGCTCGTATCGCTCCTGGAGGCGCTTGAGGTCGCGGCGGGTACGCGGGGTGCGGTCGGCCTCGGCCTTGGTCGCGCCCACCGGGTAGCTGGGGAAGAAGAAGGAGTTCGGGTCGAACACGGCGCTGAAGATGTGGTCCAGCGGGTGGGGCTTGCTCGCGTCGTCCTCGGGGGTGGCCGCGGCGGCCTCCGTCGTCGGCTGGGCCGTGGGCTGGGCGGGCTCCTCCGCACGCTCGTTCTGCGCCACAAGGGCGACGTCCAGCTTGGGGGCGGCCGCGTCAGTCAGGAGAGTCTGAGCGCCTTGCTGCTGCGCGGGGTCCAGGGTCTTGACAGCTTCCACCACCTTCTTGAGCTCCTCCACTTGCGACTTTACACGACGCAGCTGGAAGGAAAGAAAAGTGTAACACAACAAACTTCCTATTTAAACTGTCCGTAACACCCGAAAAACTTTCCAGGATCCTCGAGACTCCCTTGCTCGCTTACCTCGTCCTGGTGCTTGGCGTCCTGCTTGATGACGCGCTGCTTCTCCTTGAGGAGCTTGCGGTCCTGCTTGGCGAGCTCGCGCAGGTGGTCGCGGGACATCTCGTGCTGCTCGCGCATCATGTTCTGCTGGTCGCGCTGCAGCTCCTCGCGCGCGCGCATGTGGTCCGCCAGCTTGTCGTGGAGGCTCTCGATGTGGCGCTGCTGCGCGCTCGTCTGCTCCGCGAGCTGCACCTGTAGTATACAAGGGAGGTCAGCTCATGGACTTGAACTGTTTTGGAAGCCCTTGGAACCAAGTTCACACTCAAACCGTGTGTACTAGATATTTGAATGCTAGAGCTAGATGGAATCGCAACACTCTTAAGTTTCACCCGTTCGTTACTTGCAACGAGACCGAATGTTCTCAGCACGAAAAATAATGTGCGGGCAGGTTGAACCAAAGAGAGAGGTACAACCTCTTTGGGTCGAACCCTCGTTGAAGTTAAAGTTGAAGGGTTGAACACTCGATCAGATCGGAAGACGCCACGGTCAGGGTAATAGGCAAGCCCACCCGCAAGTCTGCGTGCGGAACAGTATAACTACAGAAGAAGTGCACGGCGGGGTTGAATCAGCCACCAAGCCTGTCGTAACAACTCAATATCAGGTGCATGGTCATCTGCGCCCCGAACACTCACTCACCTGCATCTGCTTCCAGCCGTCGTCATCCTGGTCGGGCTGGCCCCTGGGCACGAGTAGGCGTCCCGTCTGCGTCGTCCACGCGTTGTCTAGGTCACCGGGCGCCAGGAGGATGAAGTCGTCTTCTGTCTGCGGCTGCAGCTGCAGCCCTAGCTGCTGCCCCAGCTGCTGCTCCAGCTGCTGCTCCAGCTGCTGCTCCAGTCCGCGCTGCAGCAGGGCGGCGGCGGTGGCCGCGGCCGCCTCGTCGGGCAGCTGCTGCTGCTGCTGCCGCTGGAGGTTGCGGGGGTGGCCTTCGAGTCGCGCGTCCAGGTGCCGGAGTACGGAGCGTGTGCTGGACATCATGTAGAGGTTCAGGCAGGTCAGCATGAAGCAGACGAACACGACGGCACAGCAGCACAGGATGTGGCCGCGCGCCACGCCCTTGGACACGTTCACCGTCTTGTTGTCCGGCATGGCGAACAAGACGAGGTGCTGGCCAAACACTGACTGCCGTGGTGCCGCGGGGTGCGCTGGCTCTGGGGCTGGTGGCGCAAGACGTTAAACATCAGCTAAACCCGAGCCCCTGTGCTTATTTCGTGTCACCTCGATGCAAATTCTGCTGACGCGCATAGCGCTCTGTATCCGACTCCAGCCGCGGGTGGGCGGCGGTGCGATGCGCCACTTACCCGGGAGAAGAAGATTCGCTGACACTCTAATTTAACGCCATATAAAGAAAGACAAAAACTGGTACGAAACATAAATAAAACAAACTGTACTTGCTGGCGAGGCCAAATATGAGATGTTTCCATCGACGCTTGGCCTTCTGTAGTGTGGCCTCTGACTTGGCAGTTGGCAACTACGCTTGACGTTTTTTGCTGCTTTATTTCTTGCGCGTCGTCATCCACGCCCGACACAGATACTATTTGTCCCCCGATGGGAAATGACAGCAGCGGGCAGTCGTGGCCGAGTGGTTAAGGCGACTGACTAGAAATCAGTTTCCCTCTGGGAGCGTAGGTTCGAGTCCTACCGACTGCGGAATTATTTTGCTCGAATAGTTAGAATCATGACTTGGAGTATACGCCTCGCGTTGACAGCCCCTGGTCTGTCGGGGCGGAGCGGATGACACCACCACTCAGCTCGAAACGACCCGTCTAACACAGAAGCTTGATGGGTTGCCTACCTACCGGCGCTGGGTGAGTTTCCGTCCAAGTACCTCCGACCGTCTAGTTCACCAGAACTGTTCACTATTGCTTGTCACATATGAAAACATTTCTCTATCATTTTTTTAAATTCTGAAAGGCTGTGCAAGCATCTGCATGTGTTGATACATGTCGAAGGGTGTCGCCTCATTACAAAAACTCCAAAAAATGT